TACACATCCACTGTTTTACATGTTGCTATACTAGTGTCTGTTGTATTCTGCTGCCTTTCCTATCCTCTACTATCCCCCATCCCCTCCCCTCCCATCTTCTCTCTCTACCCCGTCTACTGTAATTCATTTCTCCCTGTTGTTTTTTCCCCTTTCCCCTCACTTCCTCTTGTATGTAATTTTGTATAACCATGAGGGTCTCCTTCCATTTCCATGCAATTTCCCTTCTCTTTCCTTTCCCCTCCCACCTCTCACCCCTGTTTAATGTTAATCTTCTCATGCTCTTCCTCCCGACTCTGTTCTTAGTTACTCTCCTTATATCAAAGAAAACATTTGACATTTGTTTTTTAGGGATTGGCTAGCTTCACTTAGCATAATTTGTTCTAATGCCATCAATTTCCTTGCAAATTCTATGATTTTGTCATTTTTTAATGCATAGTAATACTCCATTGTGTATAAATGTCACATTTTTTTTATCCATTCATCTATTGAAAGGCATCTAGGTTGGTTCCACAGTCTTGCTATTGTGAATTGTGCTGCTATGAACATCGATGTAGCAGTGTCCCTGTAGCATGCTCTTTTTAGGTCTTTAGGGAATAGACCGAGAAGGGGAATAGCTGGGTCAAATGGTGGTTCCATTCGCAGCTTTCCCAGGAATCTCCATACTGCTTTCCAAATTGGCCGCACCAGTTTGCAGTCCCACCAGCATTGTACAAGAGTACCCTTTTTCCCACATCCTCGCCAGCACTTGTTGTTGTTTGGCTGCCAATCTTACTGGAGTGAGATGGTATATTAGGATGGTTTTGATTTGCATTTCTCTGACTGCTAGAGATGGTGAGCATTTTTTCATGCACTTGTTGGTTAATTGTATGTCCTCCTCTGAGAAGTGTCTGTTCAGATCCTTGGCCCATTTGTTGATTGGGTTATTTGTTATCTTATTGTTTAATTTTTTGAGTTCTTTGTATACTCTGGATATTAGGGCTCTATCTGAAGTGTGAGGAGTAAAAATTTGTTCCCATGATGTAGGCTCCCTATTTACCTCTCTTATTGTTTCTCTTGCTGAGAAAAAAAAAAAAAAAAAAAAAAAAAAAAAAAAAAAAAAAACTTTTAATTTAAGTAAGTCCCATTTGTTGATTCTAGTTATTAACTCTTGTGATATGGGTGTTCTATTAAGAAATTTGGAGCCCGACCCCACAATATGTAGTTCGGAGCCAACATTTTCTTCTATCAGACGCAGAGTCTCTGATTTGATATCAAGCTCCTTGATCCATTTTGAGTTAACTTTTGTGCATGGCGAGAGAAAGGGATTCAGTTTCATTTTTTGCATATGGATTTCCAGTTTTCCCAGCACCATTTGTTGAAGATGCTATCCTTCCTCCATTGCATGCTTTTAGCCCCTTTATCAAATATAACATAGTTGTAACTTTGTGGGTTAGTCTCTGTGTCCTCTATTCTGTACCATTCGTCCACCAGCCTGTTTTGGTATCAGTACCATGCTGTTTTTGTTACTATTGCTCTGTAGTATAATTTGAAATCTGGTATCGCTATACCGCCTGATTCACACTTCCTGCTTATAGTTGCTTTTGCTATTCTGGGTCTTTTATTTTTCCATATTAATTTCATGATTGTTTTATCTATTTCTACAAGAAATGTCATTGGGATTTTGATTGGCATTGCATTGAACCTATAGAGAACTTTTGGTAATATCGCCATTTTGATGATGTTAGTTCTGCCTATCCATGAACAGGGTATATTTTTCCATCTTCTAAGATCTTCTTCTATTTCTCTCTTTAGGGTTTTGTAGTTTTCATTGTATAAGTCTTTCACCTCTTTTGTTAGGTTGATTCCCAAGTATTTTATTTTTTTTTTGAGGATATTGTGAATGGGGTGTTTTTCCTCATTTCCATTTCAGAAGTTTTGTTGCTGATATATAGGAATGCCTTTGATTTATGCATGTTGATTTTATATCCTGCCACTTTGCTGAATTCATTTATTAATTCTAGTAGTTTCTTTGTAGACCCTTTTGGGTCTTCTAGGTATAGAATCATGTCACCTACAAATAGTGATAATTTAAGTTCTTCTTTTCCTATTTTTATGCCTTTAATTTCTTTCATCTGTGTAATTGATCTGGCCAGTGTTTTGAGGACTATATTGAATAGAAGTGGTGATAGAGGGCATCCCTGTCTTGTTCCATATTTTAGAGGGAATGCCTTCAATTTTTCTCCATTCAGAATGATGCTAGCCTGAGGCTTAGCATAGATAGCTTTTACAATGTTGAGGTAAGTTCCTGTTATCCCTAGTTTTTCTAGTGTTTTGAACATAAAGTAATGCTATACTTTGTCGAATGCTTTTTCTGCATCTATTGAGATGATCATATGGTTCTTATCTTTGAGTTTATTGATGTGGTGAATAACATTTATTTATTTCTGTATATTGAACCAGCCTTGCATCCCAGGGATGAATCCTACTTGATCATGGTGCACAATTTTTTTGATGTGTTTTTGTATCCAATTCGCCAGAATTTTATTGAGAATTTTTGCACCTAGGTTCATTAGAGATATTGGTCTGTAGTTTTCTTTCTTTGAGGTGTCTTTGTCTGGTTTCGGAATCAGGGTGATGTTGGCCTCATAGAATGAATTTGGAAGAGCTCCCTCTTTTTCTATTTCCTGAAATAACTTGAAAATATTGGTTTTAATTCTTCTTTAAAGGTTTTGTAAAACTTCGCTGTATACCCATCCAGTCCTGGGCTTTTCTTGGTTTGTAGTCCTTTGATTGCTTCTTCTATTTCATCCATTGATATTGGTGTGTTCAAATTGTGTGTATCCTCCTGATTCAGTCTGGGCAAATCATATGACTTAAGAAATGTATCGTTGTCTTCACTATCTTCTATTTTATCGGAATATAGTGTTTCAAAATAACTTCTAATTGTCTTCTGTATTTCTGTAGCATCTGTTGTGATATTTCCTGTTTCATCTCATATGTTAGTAATTTGAGTCCTCTCTTCTTCTCTTTGTTAGCATGGCTAAGGGTCTGTCGATCTTATTTATTTTTTCAAAGAACCAACTTTTAGTTTTGTCAAGTTTTTCAATAGTTTTTTTTTTGTTTCAATTTCATTGATTTCTGCTATGATTTTAATTATTTATTGTTCTGCTGTATTTGCTGTTGTTTTGTTCTTCCTTTTCTAGGTCTTTGAGATGAAGTGTGAGCTCACTTATTTGTTGTTTTTTTTTCTTTTTCTGAGGAATGACCTCCAGAAAATTAATTTTCCTCTTAAAACTGCTTTCATTGTGTCCCATAGATTCTGATATGTTTTGTCTGTATTTTCATTTGTCTCTAAGAATTTTTTGATTTCCTTCTTTATGTCTTCTGTAACCCATTGATCATTCAGTAACATATTGTTCATTTTCCATGAGATGTATGAATTTTCCTTCCTTCTTTTATCATTGATTTCCAGTTTCATTCCATTATGATCAGATAGAATGCATGGTATTATCTCCACCCCTTTATATTTACTGAGGGTTGCCCTATGGCATAATATATGGTCTATTGTTTGAGAAGGATCCATGTGCTGCTGAGAAAAAAAGTATATCCACTTGATGATGGTTGATATATTCTATATATGTCAGTTAAGTCTAGGTTATTGATTGTGATATTGAGTTCTATAGTTTCTTTATTCAACTTTTGTTTGGAGGATCTGTCCAATGGTGAGAGAGGAGTGTTGAAGTCACCCATAATTATTGTGTTGTGGTCTATTTGATTCTTGAACTTGAGGAGAGTTTGTTTTATGAATGTCACAGCACCATTATTTGGTGCATAAATATTGATAATTGTTATGTCTTGTTGGTGAATGGTTCCTTTTAACAGTATATAATGTCCTTCCTTATCCCTTTTGATTAACTTAATCTTGAAGTCGATTTTATTCGATATGAGGATGGGCACCCCTGCTTGCTTACGAGGACCATGTGTGTGGTATGTTTTTTCCCAACCTTTCACCTTCAGCCTGTGTATGTCTTTTCCAATCAAATGTGTCTCCTGGAGGCAGCATATTGTTGGATTTGTTTTTTTAATCCATGTTACCAGCCTATGTCGCTTTAATGGTGAGTTTAAGCCATTTCTGTTAGAGTTACTATTGATCTATTATTTGTATTTCCAGCCATGTTTGATTATTTATCTTTTTTGTAAAATTTGGTTTGTTTCTCTATGATTAGCTTTCCCCCTGCTCTCTGGCTTACTGAGGTACTTCCCACTGTTGGTTTTGGTTATTGTTTTTCATTTCTTCCTCATGTAGTGTTTTGCTCAAGATGCTTTGCAATGCTGGCTTTCTGGCTGCAAATTCTTTTAACTTTTGTTTATAATGAAAGATTTTTATTTCATTTTCATACCTGAAGCTTAATTTTGCTGGGTACAAAATTCTTGGTTGGCATCCATTGTCTTTCAGAGTTTGAAATATGTTGTTCCAGGATCTTCTCGCTTTCAGTGTCTGTGATGAAAAATCTGTTGTTAACCTTATTGGTTTACCCCTGAATGTAATCTGCCTCTTTTCTCTTGAAGCTTTTAATATTTTCTCTTTGTTCTGTATATTGGATATCTTCATAACAATGTGTCTTGGCATTTGTCTACTGTGATTTTGTATGCTCGGTGTCCTGTATGCATCTACAATTTGTACATCCATTTCCTTTTTTATGCCTGGAAAGTTTTCTATAATTATTTCATTTAACAGGTTGTCCATTTCCTTGGTTTGAACCTGTATGCCTTCCTCTATCCCGATGACTCTTAAGTTTGGTTTTTTTATATTATCTCATATCTCTTGGATGTTTTTCTCGTGATTTTTTACCAGCCTTCCTGAGTTGGCTAGACTCTTTTCAAGATGATATATTTTGTCTTCATTATCTGACGTTCTGACTTCTACTTGCTCCACTATGTTGGTGACACTCTCAATTGAGTTTTTAATTTGGGTTATTGTTTCCTTCATTTCTAAAATTATTGTTTGATTTTTTTTTTATAAAAATATGGAATGCTTCAGAAATTTGCATGTCATCCTTGCACAGGTGCCATGCTAATCTTCTCTGTTTTGTTCCAATTTTAGTGCATGTGCTGCTGAAGTGAGCACCTAACCCTATACTTAACTCTAAAACTCACCCTAAACCTAACCGTAAACTGAACCCTAACATTTACCCTAACCCTAATTCTAATCCTTATAATAACACTTATTGTAACACTAACTCTAAATTTAACCCTCACCTTAACACTAACCCTAAAACTATCCCTAACCCTATCACTAACCATAACCATAACCCTAACAATAACACTAATTCTAACCCTAACCCTAACAGTAACACTAACCCTAAACCTAAACCTAACACTAAACTTAGCCCTAACACTAACCCTGTCACTAATCTTAACCCAAACCCTAACACTAATCTTTATACTAACACTAATCATAACACTCACCCTAACCCTAACCCTAACAATAAAAAAAAATCTAAACCTATCCCTAATCCTGACAGTATAATAAACCCTAATGCTAACCCTAACACAAACACTAACACTAAAACTAATCCTAACCCTGTCCCTCATCCTAACTCTAACCATAACCCTAACACTCACCATAACCATCACCCTAACACAAACACTAATTCTAAACCTAACATTAGCCATAACCCTAAACTTAACCCTAAAATGAACCTTAAAAATAACCCTAACCCTAACCTAACCCTAACACTAACCCTAAAACTAACCTTAACCCCAACCCTAAAACTAACCCTAACCCTAACACTAACCCTTATACAAACTATAACCCTAACTCTAACATGAATCTTAAGTCTAACCCTAAACCTAACACTAACCCTAACACTGACCCTAATCCTAACCCTAAACCTAAAACTAACTCCAACCGTAACACTAACCCTAACCCTAAACTCAACCCTAACAATAAATCTAACCCCAATCCCAGTCCTATCACTAATTCTAACCCTAAACATAACCCCAAACCTAACCCTAAACCTAACCCTAATCCTTAGCCTAACCGTATTCTTAATCCTAACCCTAACCCTAACCCTTACCATAACACTAAACCTAAACCTAACCCTAACCCTTAGTGGAAGCATATTCTTAACCCTAACCCTAACCCTAACCCTCACCTTAACACTAACTCTAATACTAATCCAACCATAACCCTAACTCTAACCCTAACTAAAACCCTAATACTAACCTCAACCTAGCAAACACCATAACCCTAACCCTAACACTAACCCTATAACTAACACCCTAACCCTTACCCTAATCCTAACTCTTAAAATAACCCTAACCTTAACCAGATCCCTAACCCTGACCCTCACCCTAATTCTAAAACTAACCCTTAACCTAATCCTAACCAGTACCCTAACAATAAATTTAACCCTTACCTAATACTAACCCTCAACCTAACACTAAACCTAACTTTAACACTAACCCAAAACCTAAACCTAACACTAGCACTAAAAACTTAACCCTAACACTAACACTAACCCTATGTCTACACTTAACCTAACAATAAACCTAACCCTAAACCTAACCCTAACTCAAACAATAATCTAATCATAACCCTAAACCTAACCTTAACACAAATCCTATCCCTAACCCTAACCCTAACAGATTCCCTAACTTGAACCCTAATCCTAACCTAATCACTAACACTAACCCTAACCCTAAACCTTACCCTAACCGTAAACCTAACCCTAACCCTAACCTAACACTAACTCTAACACTAACCATAACCCTAACTCTAATGCAAACCCTAACCCTATCCATAACTTTAACCTAATCCTAACCCTAAGCCTAAACCTTACACTAACCCTTTCCCTAACCCTAACCCTAACACTAATTCTAACCATAAATCTAACCCTACCCTAACACTTACCTATCACTAACCCTAACCATAAAACACTAACCCTAACACTAACACTAACCATAACCCTAATACTAAACCTAACCTAACCCTAATCCTAACTCTTAACTCTAACACAAATTCTAACCTTAAGCCTAAACCTAACAAAAACGCTAACCTCAACGCTACCACAGCCCTAAAAGTAAACCTAATCATATATTTAACTCTAAATCTCACCCTAATCCTAATCCTAAACCTAAACTTTACATTTACTCTAACCCTATTTCTAATCATACTCCTAACACTTACCATACACTAACTCTAACCCTACCCTTACCTGAACACTAACCCTAACTCTAACCATAACACTAACACTAAAACTATCAATAACCCTATTGCTAACCCTAACCCTAACCCTAACAATAACACTAATCCTAACCCTAACCCTAAAATTAACACTAACCCTAAACCTAAACCTAATCCTAAACATAACCCTCATCCTATGTGTAACCCTAAACCTAACAACAACCATCATCCTAACACAAACTCTAACACTAAACCTAACACTAACACCTACCCAAAATGTAAACTTAACGCTAATCCTAACTGTAGCCCTATCCCTAACTCTAACAATAATGCTAACCCTAACCCAAACCATGAGACTAACCCTAAACATATCTCTAACCCTAAAACTAACTATAAAAATAACTCTAACCCTAACCCTAACCCTCACCCTCGCCCTAAACCTAACTCTAAATCTAACACAAACCTTCACACTAACCCTAACCCTAACCCTAATCTTAACCTAATCTTAACCCTAACCCTAAAACTAACTTTTACCCTAACTCTAACCTAACCCTAACACTAACTCTAACCCTAACCCTAACCCTTACCCTAAATCTAACCCCAAAACAAACCCTAACCCTAACCCTAACACTAACCTAACCCTAACCCGAATCCTAACCATAACCGAAACTCTAACCCTATCAGAAACCCTAACACAAACCCTAATCCTAAATGTAGCCCTAATCGTAACACTAACTCAAACCCTAATATAACTAAACGTAACACTAAGTTTAACCCTAAACATAAAGTAAACACTAACCTTAACACTAATCTTAACCCTAACCCTAACCCTAACTCTAACACTGAACCTAACCTTAACCCTTACCAAAACCATAAACTTTACCCTAACACAAACACTTATCCTAACCTTAAAAAAAACCTAACACAAACCTTAACACTTAACCTAACCATAACCCTAACCCTAACACAAACACTAACCTTAACCCTAACCCTAACCCTAACAATAACCCTACCTCTAACCCTAACCCTAACCCTAATCTTAACACTAACCCTAACATTTACCCCAATGCTAACCCTAACACTAACCCTAACTCTAACACTAATGCTAACCTGAACACTAAGTATAACCTTTACCTTAACATTTACCCTAAAACTAAATGTAACCTAATCCTTATCCCTAACAATAATCCTAAGCCTAACAATAACCAAACCCCTTAATGCAACCCTAACCCTAATACTAACCCTAACACTAAACCTAACCCTAACACTAACCCTAACCCTAACCCAAACTCGAACCCTAACCATAACAATAAATCTAACCCTAACCCTAACACTAACCTAATCCCTAACCCTAAATGTAACACTAAGCCTAATCCTAACCGTAGGCCTAAAGCTAACCCTAAAACTATCAGTAACACAAACCCTAACCCTTACCCTAAATCTAAAACTAGCCGTAACCCTAAACCTAACACTAACCCTCAACCTAACACTAAACCTATCACTAATCCTAACCATAGTCCTAAACCTAACACTAACCCTAACACTAAATATAACACAAAACCTAACACTAACCCTAACTCTAACCCAACAGTAACCCTAACACTAACCCTAACCTTAATAAAAAACTCTAACCCAAACCATAACCTAAATGTAACCTAAGCCTAAGCCTAACTCTTACCTAACCCTAACACTAAACCTAAACATATCACTAACACTAACCCTAACCCTAACCCTAAACCTAACCCTAAACCTAAACCTAACCCTGAATGTAACACTAAACCTAACTCTAAATCTAAACTTAATCCTATTCATAACCCTAGTGCTAACCCTAAACCTAATCCTAACCCAATGCCAAAACCTAACCATAAACCTACCCCAAACCCTAAACCTAATCCTAACGCTAACCTTTACACAAACCATAAACCTAAGTGTAACCTTAAATCTAAACCTAATCCTGTACGTAACCCTAACCCTAAACCTAAACCTAACCCTAACACAACCCCTTAACCTAACCCTAAACCTAACACAAATCCTAACCCTACACCTAACACTAATCTTAACACTAACCTTAAACCTAAATCTTACTAACCCTAACTCTTAAACTAACCTTAAACTTATCCCTAACCTTTACCCTTACACTAACACTAACCCTAATTCTTAAACTAACCCTAACCTTAACACTAAGCTTTACCCTTACACTAACCCTAATGCTAAACTTAACCTTAACCCTAACACTAACCCTAAAGCTAACTATATGCCTAGCCCTAACCCTAACCCTAAACCTAATATCAACTCCAACCCTAACCCTAATCTTAATCCTAACACTAACCTTAAAAATATCCCTAAACCTAACATTATCCCTAACTCTATCTCTAACACTAACACTTACCCTATCCCTAAATCTAACACTAACCCTAACACTAACCCTCACCCTAATCCTAAAATGAAATATAATCGTAACCCTAACACTAACACTAAACCTAATCCTAACCCTAACCCTAAAATGAACAATAATTCAAACCCTAACACTAAAGCTAACTCTAACCCTAACGCTAACCCTAACCCTAATTCTAATGCTAACCTGAACACTAACCCTAATGCAAAACCTAACACTAACACTTACCTTAAACCTAATCCTAATCCTAATCATAACCCCAATACTAACACTAACCCTAACCCTAACCCTAACATACAGTAACCATAACCCAACCACTAACCCTAACCCTCACCATAATCCTAACCCTAACCCTAACACTAAACCTAACCCTTGCATTAATCCTAACTGTAACCCTAACCCTAACACTAACCCTAACCCTAAGAGAACCCTAAAACTAACCCTAAACCTAAACTTAACTTAAATGCTAAACCTAAAACTAACTTTAATCCTAAAATAAAACCTAATACTAAACCTAACTCTAACCCTATCCCTAAGCCTAAAA